CGACTTTTGAAAGATATTTACCCATCGTTCGATTCATTCTCTCCACCATTCCATCTGACTGAGGATGCAAAGGTGTTGTTCTCGTTTTATTGGCTCCTACCAATCGACAAACATCTTGGAACAAAGCCGATTCAAAGTTCCTTCCTTGGTCTGAATGGATTTCTATAGGAACACCAAAACGTGTAAAGAACTCCTTTTACCAACACTTCTGCAACTGTTGCTGCCTCTTGGTTTGGAATGGCGTAAGCTTCAGTCCACTTTGTGAAATAATCCATAGCGACTAGGATATATTTATTTCCGCCATCTGTCTCGGGAAACGGTCCTGCGATATCGATAGCAACTCGTTCCATCGGACTACCAACGTTATACTGCCTTATGGGTGCCTTCTTCTTGGAAACTGGTCCGTTTCCAGTAGCACATAACTCACATTTTTGACACCATCGCCGGACATCTTCTTTACGGTTGACCCAATAGAATCGCTCACGTACCCTTTGCAACGTTTTCGTAATACCAAAGTGTCCTCCGGAAGCGCCGTCATGCAATTTTCGCAATACTTCCGACACTTTGCTTCTAGATACTACTAATTGCAGCGTCGATTCGGTGCCATCTTCACTTTCAAGGGTCCTATACAACAGGTTGTCTTTCAGAGTCAGGCTATTCCATTGGCCCCAATAATTCTTTACTTCAGGACTTGTGGCACTAATGTCTTGCCAGCCTGGTCTTTGTCCGTGGCGCATCCAATTCAGAACAGTTTTTAAACTTGGGTCGTTTTCTTGGGCCGTTTTGATTTCGCTTGGCTTCCATTCCTCACTCTCTACAGTTGTTCGCCGCAGATGGCCAATCTTGTCTTCTATTTTAGAACAATGTGTGCAGTTGTCTTTGCACGGTCTTCTTGACAAAGCGTCTGCATTATTGTGAACTTTTCCAGACGACGTAATGTTTACAGTGCAGACCGGGGCTTTGTTTCTGCAGGTCGGGGATAGCCCCTTCCTGTCGAACTTTCTTAGTTTTCCGACTGCTGTAATGGTTTTTGGCAGTTGCGGCGAACGTGTCCAATCTCGCCGTGGTTCACGTTTCTTTGCCAGTGACTGTATTGCTTTATTGATCTTTTCTTCCACTTCTTTACTGACCTTTTCTTCAAATTTTCAGAGCCACCTTCCTCTTCGATGGTTCTTACCCGGCTCTCACTGCGAGGTTCCACCATACGTACTCGCGCACTTCCATGACTAGCTTTCTTGGCGGCTTCGAATTCTAACGCATGGGCCAAAGCTTTCTCTATTTTGTCGTGCCTAGCCAGTCTCAAAGCCTGCTGGGCATCTCCATCACGAACGGCATCGATAAATGTTTGTACAGCCAGTTGATCAAGAAAGCTTCTCCGGTGCCGTAGGGTATGCCAATCGAATCAGTCTAGCGATGTCCGCTTCAAGTTCCTGCAAACTTTCTCCAGGTTTCTGCATTCGGTTCTTGACTTGGACATAGTAAACTTGCTGAAGGTGTTTATCGCCATATCGCATTTCGAGTCGCGCTACGATTTGTTGGAAGTTCTGTTGATCCTCGGGGATAGTCCGCAACACATCCAGAGCATCTCCTCTCAGAGCAAGAATCAGGGCTGTAGTTTTGTCTTGAAGAGTCCATTTATTTGCCGCAGCCGCTGCTTCAAACTGTCGAACGTACGAGGTCCAAGGAATCTTACCATCAAACGTAGGTGGCTTTACTCGGGCTTGCTGAACGTCGCCTTCTACTCTTGTATTTGTTTCTGGGGCACTACTAGTACGCTCTTTCGTAGTCAGTCGCAAGAATTGCTTGCGCAGCTCTTCATACTTGTGCTCAATCTCAACGAATGTTGCTTTAAATGTTTTGGAAACTTCCGTAATTCTATCTTCAACTTTTTCTTCGATAATCTTTCTAGAATTTTCTTCCATTTTCTCGAACTTCTCTTCAAAATGTCTAGAATTTTCTTCGAACTTCTCTTGAATATTTCTAGAATTTTCTTCCATTTTCTCGAACTTCTCTTCAAAATTTTTAGAATTTTCTTCCAACTTCTCAAACTTCTCTTGAATATTTCTAGAATTTTCTTCATTAATCTTTCTAGAATTTTCCTCCATCTTCTCGAACTTCTCTTGAATATTTCTAGAATTTTCTTCCATTTTCTCGAACTTCTCTTCAAAATTTCTAGAATTTTCTTCCAACTTCTCTTGAATATTTCTAGAATTTTCTTGGGTGCTTTTCATTTCTTGTTGCAACCCCTGTTGGCCATTTTGGATTTGCTGGAGCAAATTGAGCATCGTTTCTTCCATTTTAGCGGCAGCAGATCTTGTTACAGGCATACACAAGCACAAGCACTTAATTTAATCTTACTTTTAATTAATTTAATTAATTCCACTCCTGACACCAATGTAACGTTATTTATAAATTCGGGTTCGATTTATATCAGTATTTATTAAACAAGACTAAAACACTATAAAAACCGTACAATTTATATCGATTATTTATATCACACACTTCGAAATTTATATCAGATTTTCGCGCTCTATGTTTCGTCCGTACTCGATCTCGTTCGATAGTAGACTGCCGCGATGTTCGGTCCGCAACCATTTATACACGCAAGCAATGTAAGTCCAGTACATTCTCGAATGTTCCTACAAATTCCACTATCGCGCGCGTAGAAAATTCCAGAGAATTCTGGAGCATTTCCGTTACAGTATATTCTCCCTCTTCGTCTCCATTCACGTTTCCGTTGAGAATGTACCGCCCTTTTTCTTCTGCGAAGTTTCCCTTCTTTATTTATCACATTATCTTTTGGTTTTCTTTTGTTTTCTTCTTCTTCTTCTTCTTCTTCTTCTGTGCGAGCGATCCAAGACCCTTCCTTGCCTATCCGCGCGTTTAAATCCCTCCTTTGCCTATTCCTTTCTTTTGCGGCGTGATTGGAAAGCCTCCCCAAATCAGTACGGTTTCGTGATAGCAAGGGGGGCGAAAAAAGCACTCTGGTTGAGACGGCTAGAAGGCAGGACCGACTCAAGACAAAAGTTACGTGTAAGAAAGCACTAAATTTTGCGCCCCATATTGTAACGTAAATTTAATTACGTGATTTGTTTATTTACAATTAATTAATAATACATTTATAAATAACAATGTTGAAATGAATTAATTTATAACACCCAAATATTATTTATCACTCACATTAACACAGTTTATAACAGTGGGAACTATTTATTACTTCGGTGTTGAAATTGGAACTTTCCTGAAACGCAATTCGATTTGCTTATATAGCCAACTCGGGTATTCTCAAGTGTTCCCGAATGGTCTTGAACATTCTAGAACAAAACACATCGCATTTCCCGGAAAGATTACATCACATCCGCCTTTGGTTTTTATCGCCGATCTTTCATGGCACCTCGATATCTATCGGGATTTCTGGAATATTCGCTACATCATTTGTTACTGTATTAGGAATTTTTTCAATTTATGTTATATCGTGTTCGTTTGATCTTAAAAATAGAAAACGCCGTCGGTGTTTTACATCCGTGATTCGGCAGTCATTAAGTTTCGAGTCATTTTGCGCCCCCTACTTGTCTGCGTCGTAAGCGGACAGTTACACCGTTTACGCCTAAAGCCGATCCTGCTCGAGGGCTAAGGCAGGTGCGTGGCGGACCAGGGAGGTGGTTATTATGGCATCTCTGGACGTCCAAAACGCGTTTACCAATCTACCTACGGATGTGATAATAGACGCCCTAGAAAGGACGGGAGCACCGAGCACGATGTGTAAATTAATGTATAGCTACTAAGAGAGCGAAAAATTAATGTAAGACTCCCGTTCGGAAATAGTTATGAAATAGAGGTAATTGGAGGCGTCCCTCAAGGATCGGTATTAGGGCCACTGCTATGGAATTTGGCATACGATGAAGTAGTAGGCATGACGGTACCGAGGGGGGTGAAGTTGGTTGCTTTTGCAGATGGCCTCACAGTGATAGCTACGGAGAGGGAATTGGAGGTGGGGAAACGCCGTATGGACACTACCATGGAAGCCATCTACAGGTGGATGGGGAATCCTGGAGCGGGCGCCGAGAAGTATGGCCCTGAGAATAGCCCCGGCTAATAGAACGGTCAGTAACAAAAATGTTTGTGTAGTGGCCGAGGTAATACCACTGACAATAGAAGCGGAGGCTAGAGCAGAAGGAGCCACTAGGAAAATCTCCTTGGCTCGCTGGCGGGAGAAACGGGGTCGTAGGAAGTTCTGGATAAGTAGAAATGGTATCAGAGAAAGCACTACCATCTACACAGTTCTTAACAGGACAGGGGAGAACGCAGAGTAAATACACAGATTCAAAATGTGGGGGGACGACACCTGTGCGGACTGCAGGTATAGAGACACTCCAGAACCCGCAGTCTTTGAGTGTGGGAGATGGGAAATGCGTAGATGGACGCTGATAATGGAGCTGGCGGACCCGATAGAAGAGGATGTTATCATCGAGAGCATGATACAGAGTCAGAGTAGGTGGAGGATGATAGACGGGTTCATCACGCATGTAACACGAACGAGAGAGAGGGAGGCCAGGCCAGCACAAACTTAGCGAAACCCCCGACCTTGGGATTTATTAATGGGGAAGTGGTTTAGTGGGGCCCACACTACCTCCGCCATAGAAACAGGCGGAGGTGTACATAGGCATTCCACCATCCCCATGATTATATTAAAAAAAAAGGTAATTCGTCGCTTATCAGCGTATCCTCGTGGATACTGTTGAGGTATTCATTGTAGTCTATGGGTTTACTTCTTGGCGAAGTAATCATGTTCTGCCTCTTGTGACGATAATACCCACTAAGAATATTTTTTAGGTTTTCAGGTTGTCGCAAAACAACATTAAAGAATGAGGGATAGAATTATATGCAGAAAGATACACGCGGATGACCTCTAGGGGGAAGGTAAATGAAACCTAAAATACTCATCCAACTACATCTAAACTAAACCGATTTCCAGAGGAAACACATAGATGGCGCGCAAGAATATTAAAAGGAATATATTTTAATGTTTAATGACTTGATAATCATTTCTTTAAAACCTCAACTACAATAAATTGTTCTCGATTAATCTTGAGATTAGTTTGTCTCATCTTAAGCTAACGATCATTTTGAAGGGCTTGATCGCTGCACTGAAGCCCTCTATAATTTCAAATTGCGGAGGTGCGCCCGGGACGGGTCTAAAGTTAAACGTCTGTAGCAGACCGGCAATAATCATAAAGATATTCGCCTTCGCCAAAACTTCACCCAGACATCTTCTCTTTCCTATTCCGAACGGTATGAAACCGTCGGGTACGTTTAGGCCGCCGTCCTTGATAAAGCGTTCGGGATTAAAGACACCTGGATTTCGCCATCCTGCTTTTGGATCCATGAACGTTCCCCTCGAGTTTCCGAACAGAACGGTATCCTAAAACAGTTTTAGAGATCTCTGGGGTGCCTCCAAGGTGGATACCTTTGGGATAAAGTAGCCGCCAAACATGGCGTCCTTCATCGCTCGCCTTGGTACGATAAAAGACCTGCCTGCGAACATCCTCAAGGATTCTAGAGCTAAAGCCTCTACGTAAGGCAACCTAGAGTTGACAAATAAAACAAGGTTAGCGATTTTAAGGGTGACCTACCGTGGTTTGTCTTCCAAAGTGGGTAGTCTCTCTCTCCCAACAACACGATCAATTTCATCTTGGGCCTTCGTCTGGAGATCCGGGTGGAGCACGATGTAGAACATTGCAAAACAAAGCGTGTTGTAGTTCGTCTCAAAGCTCCCCGTAAAGAGATCCAAACATATTGCCATCAATTGATCCTGATTGAAATTTCCCATTGAGCCCATCTTTTCCAAATACGCGCGAATTAAGCTTCGGTTGGAGTTGTGTGTTTTTCTCAAGCCCTGTATCATTTTGCTTGAAAATTCCATGACCGCTTTATTAACTCTCACGTACGCATTGTACCCACAGTAATCAGGACAAATGTATTTTAAAAACGGAAAGTTACTAAACGCCGTGCCAGACAATGAAGTACATCGAAAAAGCTCCTCCATTACCCTGAGCAATTCGCTCGCTCCAAGATCGTCTAAGTGACCCTCGTTGCCTGCCATCGAAACCCAAGCCGTTTGCAGAAGTTGCTCCCCAAACAAACTATCACTTGTGATAGCACCATTGTCCTTGATTTTCCTTTTGACCGTATCGATTACAGCTCCCATCCCCCTTTGAACGTTTTCCATCAATATCTCCTTACGAAATCCCGTTTGCTTCAGCTGTCTCTCCACGAACTTCCTTTGCTCTTTGAAAAACTCCGAGTCGGTGAATATAATTCCTTTGCGGGTGCCGCCGGTTCTGCTCGTGGACAATAAGCCGATAGGTCTCCCATTGAGCTCGTCTCTCGTGTACATTTCCTCAATTTCTCGCTTTCCATAAACAAAAACCGCACGCTCGCGTCCAATGCGCAGGCCGACCAAAGGTCCATACATCGCTGCTAGTTCCTGCGATGCTTTCGCCAAGTTGCCCGTTCTCCTGTGCAGCTTGTGCACTTGCCAGGCGCATCCTATTAGTGGGAACCAGGCGGGACCCGGTGGAAAATTTTTGGGTTTTCTTGTATCCAGATACGCGACCAACACGAGCACTAGCAATATCAAAAGGAACCACATGTTTCTAAGGGAGACAACTTCCAACTACACAAATATTATGCAGCAATCTTTCCAATGTAGACAGAAATCAAACACTAGAGATAGCACTAGACCTCTTTAACCTATTGATGAGATTAAATGCTACGTGCTCGTGGGCCAGCCTCCACATCCTCAGCTAACAGCCACGTTAAACGAAAATTCCTGTCGCCTATTGCAATAAAGGTTTTGGTACAGACTAAAATTAGTGGAAAATTTTTGGGTTTTCTCGTATCCAGGTACGCCACTAGTACGAGCACTAGCAATATCAAAATAAACCACATGTTTACAAGTGGTCGAACTTCTAACTGCCCACCGATTGTGCTAATCGGCGATCTTTGTAATGTAGACATACAAACACAAACAATAAATACAGCGGAGACCTCTGTAACCTTTTAATTTCTAGGGTCTTTAACCTCAAAATGGGATTCTTAATTAGGCAACCATGGTTCCAGCCCAGTTGGATACTTCACATCCGCAACCGGCAGTCAGTCGAGGAAGAAAAATTCTTCTTATCGTGCACCGTTTTGGTAAATACAAGAATTTCTGAAATTTAGAGGAGGAAAAGGTCACCATTATCATTGATAAAGGTTTGTAGAGCTTCCAAAATTTAAAAATTTAAATTTTAACTTAATTTGGTCAAAGGCGCCCGTAAAAGCGCTTTGATGGTCTTGAATTCTTTTAAAGGATTTTAAACACTAACGTCATCGTAATATCTCTTAACACTCTTCAAGAGTAATTTTTTATTAACCCTTAAAACTCCTCAAAATCTCTCAAATAAAAAGGAGAATCTCAACTAGGTACTATTGGAGATCTATTCACGCTCGTTGACTTTTTTGAAAACCATTTGCGACTGTTGAGGTCTCTTAAAAGCCCTGAAAAACAATTCAAAGATACTTAGGATTCAGAAAAGGTTGTAACACCTCAAGGGAATTTTATTATTTTTGGCTGGGGACCCTTCAACGGCCTTAAAGGCTTTTGAAGGCACTCAAGGTCAACTTTTAATTGGGTAAATCCGAATAACTAGTTACGCTGGAATTAAAATAATTAGCTAATGTCCTCTTCAAGGAACATTTTAACCCTGTATTATTTATTAGTCATTAATTGCTGGGAAAGTGTTATCGTACTTGTAGCGTGTAATCCAAACTGTATTTCGATCCTGGATTGCATTTTGTTTCGCTTTCATATTCGAATTGAACGGTTTAGTCTCCTTCAGAGTACTAATCTGCATTTATCTGCAAATCGAATAAATAGATTTCAGCACCATCTAGGTTACCTCAGTGTTTTGACGCTCTACTAGAAGAAATTGGTGCGATTTGTTCCGAATCCGCTTTCGGCTTGCATAACCAGTGATGAGCGAGACGAAGGTGAGTTCGGCCCAACCCGACTCTCTCTCCTAAGTAAAGCCAAAAAAAAAACACGAGGGAACCGGTCCGATTTGTGCCGAACCCGCTTTCGGTTTGACCAGCCATTGTCGAACGAGCCGAAGTAACCCGGATTGTGCCGAAAGCGGGTTCGGCATACTTCGGCTGCCGCCATGTTTTTTTTCAACATCCTATCAAATCTAATAATGAGCCAGCACCATCTTTCAAAGACCCCAAGTCCGTATTTAATGCACAATTAAAAAAATTTGGTTTTCAGATTTGTATTTTGGTCAATATATGGATATTTCCACTTGTACCGCTTCATATCGAACGTGAACGAAAGTACGTCTGGCGATAACAAGCGGTCACCAGAAACATATTGCGGAATGCGAGCCACGATCTCTTGGGACCGAAAAGTTCCCTTCCATTCTGAATAGAGCCGATCACGTGACGGAAATGCTGGTTTTTTATTTTAGGTTGTTAGGGCACGCCAATCGAGGTGATTTGCGTTCGAAAATAAGTCCCTATTCGGTTTTTCTCGTGCTCTTTGATGCTTATGGAAACAATTATTGATTCTTAATCGCTGCGATAAATCCTTTTACGTCTTTGAAGGCCCTTGGTAGCTCTTATAAACTATTGGCGGTCCTTGAAACAGTAACTCCTACCAGAAGAACATGATGAACGGAGGGGTGTTTTTCTTATGAGAATTATTTCAACTTCAGCTTCAGTTCGGATTTAGTTTTTGCCAATTCTGTATCAGGAGAATATAAGACACGAGGATGTCTTTCTGTTCCTAATATACGTGGCATTTGTTTGCAAACTCTTGTACAATTTTTCTGGCTATCAGGAGAACATGATGAGCGAAGAGGTTTTTTCTAGAATTATTTCAATACTTTAGTTCGGATTAAATTTTTGCCAAATCTGTATCAGGAGAATATAATACACGAGGAGGTCTATCTGTTTCTAATACACGTGACAGTTTTTGGAAAACTCTTGTAAAACTTTTCTGGTTACCAGGAGAACATGATGAAGAAAGAGGTTTATTTCTAGAACTATGATAAGTATTTCAATGCTATAGTTCAGATTAAATTTTGGCCAATTCTGTATCAGGAAAATATAATACACGAAGAGGTCTTTCTGTTCCAAATATACGTGACAGTTGTTGGAAAGCTCTTGTAAAACTTTTCTGGCTACCAGGAGAACATGATGTAGAAAGAGGTTTTTTCTAGAACTATGATAATTATTTCAACGCTATAGTTCAGATTAAATTTTTGCCAATTCTGTATCAGGAGAATATAATATACGAAGAGGTCTTTCTGTCCCTAATACACGTGGCATTTGTTGGCAAACTCTTGTACAATTTTTTCTGGCTACCAGGAGAACATGATGAACGAAGAGGTATTTTACTAGAATATTGGTATATGAATTATTTGAACGTTTTAGTTCGGATTAAATTTTTTCAATTCTGTATTAGGAGAATAATAATAAGAAGAAGAATTATTTCAACGCTATAGCTCAAATTAAATTTTTCCAATTCTGTATCAGGAAGAATATAATACACGAGAAGGTTTTTTGTTCCTAATACACGTGACATTTGTTGGCAAACTCTTGTAGAATTTTGCTGGCTACCAGGAGAACAAGATGAACGAAGAGGTATTTTACTAAGAATTATGAGAATTGTTTCAACGCTTTAGTTCAGATTAAATTTTTGCCAATTCTGTATCAGGAGAAATATAATACGAAGAGGTCTTTCTGTTCCTAATATACGTGGCATTGTTGTGCAAACTCTTTGTACAAATTTTTTTGCTACAGGAGCATGATGAACGAAGAGGTATTTTACTAGAATATTGGTATATGAATTATTTGAACGTTTTAGTTCGGATTAAATTTTTTCAATTTGTATCAGGAGAATGTAATACACGAAGAGGTTTTTCTGTTTCTGATACACGTGGCATTTGTTAGCAAACCCTTGTACAATTTTTCTGGCTACCAGGAGAACACGATAAAGGAAGAGGTTCTTTCTAGAACAATGACAATTATTTCAACGCTTTAGTTCGGATTAAATTTTTGCCAATTCTGTATCAGGAGAATAATAATAATAATAAGAATTATTTCAACGCTATAATAGCTCAAATTAAATTTTTTCAATTCTGTATCAGGAGAATATAATACACGAGAAAGTCTTTCTATTCCTAATACACGTGGAATTTGTTGGCAAGCTCTTGAACAATTTTTTTGGCTACCAGGAGAACATGATGAAGGAAGAGGTATTTTACTAGAAATTATGAAGATTGTTTCAACGCTTTAGTTCGGATTAAATTTTGCCAATTCTTATCAGGAGAATATAACACACGAAAGAGGTCTTTCTGTTCCTAATATACGTGGCATTTGTTGGCAAACCTTTGTACAATTTTTTATGGCTACCAGGAGAACATGATGAAGCGAAGAGGTATTTTACTAGAATTATTGGTATATGAATTATTTGTTTGGCACATTCTTGTACAATTTTTCTGGCTACCAAGGAGAAACATGATGAAGAAAGATAGGTTTTTTTTTCTAGAATCTATGAGAATTATTTCAACGCTATAATAGCTCAAATTAAATTTTTTCAATTCTGTATCAGGAGAATATAATACACGAGAAAGTCTTTCTATTCCTAATACACGTGGAATTTGTTGGCAAGCTCTTGAACAATTTTTTTGGCTACCAGGAGAACATGATGAAGGAAGAGCTTTCTTTTTAGAACTATGAAGATTATTTCAACGCTATAGTTCGGATTAAACTTTTGCCAATTCAGTATCAGGAGAATATAATACACGAGGAAGTTTTTCTGTTCCTAATATACGTGGCATTTGCTTGAAAACTCTTGTACAATGTTTCTGGCTACCAAGAGTACATGATGTACGAAGAGGTGTCTCTCACTTCCATCAAAAAGGGAGGTCGCTAATCGCAATCCTGGTCTGGGAGGCTCTAAAGCAATATATTGAACTTGCTCTTCGCAAACACTAACTGACATACTTCCTATTTCTCGAACTTCTCTCGGTATTTCTGGATCGTACTTCTAAATGTTGTTCCAATTGCACTTTCAAATTTTTCTAATATTCTGCGTGCGAATCCTGTCCTGTAGGATAATTCGTCGAGGGTCTTCATTATTCCCCACACCTGGCGGCCCTGGCGCCAATGTAACGTATATTTATTTTCACGAAACAATTATTAAACTAACTGTATTGCTATAAAAATCCTTTAAAGGTCTTTAAGGACTCTTAAAGGCTTGTTAAAAGTTAACTGGACCACCAAAAGACTGTGAAAGCCATAGTAAACATTTGGTGACTTAAGTCTTAAATACCTTTAAAGACCAATAAAACCCAATGTGAGAAATGCCCTTTAATTTTCCTAAAGACTTTTATTGGATAGAAAAAGAATCAAAAACTTTGCTCTGGGAGGCATTGTTGACCCCAACTAAGCTTTTAGACTAAAGGATCCTAGAGGCCCTTGAAACTAATTTACAAACATCTGATGCATATTTACAGAGTGGAGCAACACATTAATTATCTTAAGCTAACGATCATTTTGAAGGGCTTGACTCCTGCAGTAAGGCCCTCCATAACCTCAAAGTGCGGTGGATCGCCCGGGACGGGTCTAAAATTGAACGTATGCAGCAGACCGGCGATAATTAGAAAAAGATTCGCCTTGGCAAAAACTTCACCCAGGCATCTTCTCTTCCCTATTCCGAACGGTATAAAACCGTCGGGTACGTTTAGGCTACCGTCCTTCATAAAACGTTCGGGATTGAAGACACTTGTATTTGGCCATCCGGAATTTGGATCCATGAACGTTCCCCTCGAGTTTCCAAACAGAACGGTATCCTAAAACAGTCTTAGAGATCTATCGGGTGACTCCAAGGTGGATACCTTTGGAATAAAGTAGCCGTTAAACGTGGTGTCTTTCATCGCCCTCCTCGGTATGAGAAAGGACCTGCCTGTAAACATCCTCAAGGATTCTAGAACTACAGCCTCTACGTAAGGCAACCTAGAGTTGACAAATAAAGCAAGGTTCGCGATTTTAAGAGTGACTTACTGTGGTTTGTCTTCCAAAGTGGGTAGTCTCTCTCTCCCAACAACACGATCAAGTTCATCCTGGGCTTTCGTCTGAAAATCTGGATGAACCACGACGTAGTACATTGCAAAGCAAAGCGTGTTGTTGGTCGTCTCAAATCCCCCTGTAAATATATCCAAACATATTCCCATCAATTGATCCATAGTGAAATTGCTTTTTCCCACCGAATCCATCGTTTCCAAATAAGCGCGAATTAAACTTGCGTTGGGGCTGCCAGTTTTTCTCAAGCCCTGTATCATTTTACTTGAAAATTCTATAACCGTTCTATTAACTCTGACGTACGGATTATATCCACAATAATCAGGACAAATGTATTTTAAAAACGGAAAATTACTAAATGCCGTGCAAGACAATGACGTACTATGTGAAAGGTCCACCATTACTCTGTGCAATTCGCTCGCTCCAAGATCGTCTAAGTGGCTCTCGTTGCCTGCCATCAAAACCCAAACCGATTGCAGAAGTTGCTCTCCAAACAATCTATCACTTGTAACAGCACAATTGTCCTTGATCTTCCTTTTGACGTTATCGATTATAGCTCGCACCTCCCTTTGGATGTTTTCCATCAATATCTCCTTACGAAATCCAGATTGCTTCAATTCTCTTTGCAAGAACTTTTTTTGCTCTTGAAAAAACTCCGAGTCGGTGAATATAATTCCTTTGCGGGTGCCGCCGGTTCTGCTCGTGGACAATAAGCCGATAGGTCTCCCATTGAGCTCGTCTCTCGTGTACATTTCCTCAATCGCCTGCAATCCATAAACAAAAACAGCACGCTCGCGTCCAATGCGCACCCCGACCAAAGGCCCATACTTCGCTGCCAGTTCTTGCGACGCTTTTGTCAAGTGGCCCATTCTCCTGCGCAGCCGATGCAGTTGCCAGGCGCATCCTATAAGTGGAAACCAGGCAGGACCCGGTGGAAAATTTTTGGGTTTTCTTGTATCCAGGTACGCGACCAACACGAGCACTAGCAATATCAAAAGGAACCACATGTTTCTAAGGGAGACAACTTCCAACTACACAAATATTATGCAGCAATCTTTCCAATGTAGACAGAAATCAAACACTAGAGATAGCACTAGACCTCTTTAACCTATTGATGAGATTAAATGCTACGTGCTCGTGGGCCAGCCTCCACATCCTCAGCTAACAGCCACGTTAAACGAAAATTCCTGTCGCCTATTGCAATAAAGGTTTTGGTACAGACTAAAATTTTTAAAATTTATTGGAGGAAAAGGGCACTATTTTAGAAAGATTAATTTTGGACAAATCGCCTTCGAAGACACATTAAAAGATACGGAAAATCTTTAAGGTCAGCTCTTGAACACTTTTTTAGGTCTTTAAACACTCACAAAAGGTTTTTTTGTTAACCCTTAAAGCTACTTATAGTCTTGCAAAGAAAGGAAAGTGGTATAAAACTTCTAAATGACTCTTTGAGATCATTTAGATTCTTTAGTGGACCGTTTGCTACTCTAAGTGCCTCTTAAAAGCCCTTAAGGGCATATAAAAGCTATTAGGGTTTCAGAGAGGGTCTCCTTCGAAACCGTTGGCAACGGCGAAATGACCTTAGGGTCGTTTAAAGACCTTTGCAGGATATTAGACGATTAAAGGCGTGCCCCTTATCAAAGTAAGGTGTTGGAGGACTGGTTTTAACCTTCATGGTACTTTTATAAAAGGAACAGGAAGAAGGTACTCTCAAAGGGCGGAAAAACACCTACTGGCGATGTGAAAACTTAGTTGTGAATAGCTCGAAATTGTTGGGAACACGTGGATTATTTCGGAGAAGTTTGAGCTTGGTTCTGCGTAGATACTGTGAACATCCCCCTCCACATTACTCATCTATCAAGAAGGTAAACGTCTACAAATATAGCATTTACGCTAAATTTTAAGTCATTTTGGTTTTACAAAAATTTGCTGTAGCTAGCACAGATACCGCTGAACTCACCTTCGACTTACACAGTCATTTCCGAGCGATCCCAAGGCATTCCAGCCTATTCAATTATTTTTAACGTAGAAATTTGGCTGTAAATTGGGATTAAGGACAATTCCCATCAAGTCGCAATAATCACCTTGTGATTTATTTATTTGTTCTATTTTACTACGTGTTAGAACACCTGGAAATATTTGCGCAGTATTTATAAAAATGTTATCTCCGGTCGTCGTGATAAGAGTTGTTTTTCGTTACATAAAAGCTAATTAGTTTCAAGATCAGGACGAGTTATCGTTTAACACGTGTGTTTAAGTTACTCGAAGCCGCGCCGAAAATTAAATAGAAAGAAGGAAAGATTGTGGAAAAGGAAGAATGTTTTAAATAGAACAGACGGGTTTTTTTCTGGTGATGGACGTGAATTTCGACTTGCTTGTTTTCGTACTCTACAGTCGTGGCCAGTTGGTCCTTATAATCGTAAGTTCTTGTTATCGAAGAAAGTTCATACTTAATACCACGAGTATTATTTAAGTCGTCGTAATAAAAGTAGAAATAAAGTTGTTTCCCAGGCCCGGTAAACAGTGTTTTTCCACCATCAAAGAGCCAATACAATAAGTTTAATTACAGCAAAGTCAGTGTAATCTAAAACGAGATTCCGGTGTAGTCAAATAAGTTAGAAAACATCATCATCTTGCCGTTTGTTTTATGTGTTAGTGCGCCTGATTGCTGAGCAATTGAGTAATTATGACTGGATGATGAGGACTTAAGGTAATTAAAACTTTATTTAAATTGAATTTGATTAATCGATCGCTTGCGTATTTTATCCACCCGTTTCTTTCACCTGATTTGATTGATTGAATTGATGAATAATTTCGTTTCATCTGTAAACGGTTAGTTTTGTGTATAATCGAGCCCAAATTACGACCTAGATAAGAGTCTCATGTTAAATTTTTCTATTTCGTATTCAAAATTACGTCGGGTGTTAATTACAAATTTGTTATGTAATTCTTTGGAATTTTGGAGGCGGTTGAGGTGATAATAAGTATTTAATTCTAACCCTGACAATAGAGGGAGCAATTTCTAGGGTAGGCTCGGGTCCGACGAAAACCCCACCACTGCCAGCAACACATGTAAAAGTAGCGGTTCCGGGCCCTTTTGCAAAAGAGCCAGGAATATCTCCCTATGGTCGTGCTCTCTTAAATGGTCTGAACGTGTTGACCGCCCATCTCAGAGATCCTTCGGTAACCTCCCTGGCCTTGAACCGACCCGGGTACCTCCTTTTGGTGGATCCGAAGTTACGTATTTCCCAGAGCCTAGGAAGACATGTAGGAATCTGACCCACGGTAGACGTATATCTAGCGCATGGAAGTTTCAGTGTATCCACTTTTTACCCCGGGTCTTTCAAAAGGATCTTACGAAGTTTTTGAGCATCCAGAAGACCATTTATGTTACCACAGAAGGTCCTCCATGATCCTCGCTTAGACCTTCGAAGATGATCCTGAGCGATCTTCCAATTCTTCCCCGTCTGCTGCAAATTTCTCTTCATCCATCTATGATGTACTCGGTTCCCCCCTCCCCTAGTGATGGCGACTGCTTCGACCTCTGGTCGGTGCCAAGAACCGCCTGGCGATTGCCTTCTTTGCGCCAGTCCCATTCTTCTTGCGAACCATACCGGGTCCTTGAATAAGGTCTTCCGTTGGAGCCGTCCTCCCTTTCGAGGAGCCTCCCCCGTTACCGGAACCCGGCTTGTTGAGCCCCTCTCACGGGGAACCCACAAAGGGTTTGTTTGGTTTGAAATCCTCCATCCAATTCCCACGAGTAGCGCAAAGACCCACTAAAGCTTTTAAAGGTTTATAGAATCTAAAGGTCCACTTAAGGTCTCAGATCCCTTAAAAGATCTTGGAGCCTTTTAGAAGTTCGATTTGAGACTCGAGGGCTCTTAGAGTCTTTTAAAGGAAGCTCGTCAAAAACCGTTAAAGGCACTTAGTAACCTAGGGATCCTAAAGGCTCTTCAAAATTCATATATGGAATATTAAAAACCCTAAAAAACATTAAACTCTCAATAGTCCTTAGAGGTCTGCTAAAGGCTTTTAATAAGACCACGAGTGCCATTGACAATTATTAGTGGCCTTTAGTACCTGCCTACCGCCAAAATAGTATAAGGAATAAATAATCTTAAATAACTATTAAAGCTGTTTAGAATATCAAGGTATCTATGGTTGAAATGCTTAGTATATCATTTTAGTACAGGCTTTAGACAATGAACAATAAAGGGCCCAACATGTTACTTTGAGGTACGCCTACAGCACCTCGCAGTTTCGGAAAGCAATTTGCAAATTATCGGAATGCTATCTTATAGTGACAAGTGCATTAAAGGGTTTAACTCCCGGAGTGAACCCTTGGACAACCTCGACCTGCGGATGACTTCCTGGCGGTGCCTTGAAACTGAACGGCTGTAGCATATTGGCAATTATGAAGAAGAGGTTTGCTTTCTCCAAAACTTCCCCCAAACACCTTCGCTTCCCGAGACCGAACTACTTGGAACGTTCAAACGGAAAATTCTTTGGTCTTCGTGTGCCCAGGAACGCCAGTAACAGCAATAGGAAATTTCACTGCGTCTGTCACAGATTTGTTTAGGCAATTAGTCGATTAGTGGTGATAACTGCTTTATAAATAATCATTGACCTTACCATGGAATTGCTTATTCAGCGCCTTTGCCATCATGTTTTCACAATATTTTTATTTTTTTTCCTACAACGAAAGTTATACACTTAATGACCTTTAATACATTGTAATGTAGATTTATTCATTCACAAATAATTAACTCTACGATTTTAAAGATCAAAATCATCTAGAAAACAGATGAAAGCACTTGTGGTTTCTAGAAAAGGTCTGAGCCCTTGAGCACTAGTAAGGGCTTTAATTGCTCTAAATCAATCTAAAATGAGGTGGTTTTTGGACAAAATGGCGACCCAAAGATGCTCTTAAAAGGCTCATCTCGTAAAGCATTAGAAAATTGTAGTTGTGGCTCAATAAAGTTAAATCCCGAAAGTTACGGCTTACGAAAATTATCAGATTTGGAGCATAAGCCCAAGCCATAAACCTACAGCAAAGTTGAACCTTGATACTTGAACCTTGAAAATGCAGCGCAAAGCTTAAAGTTTTAAAGATTTGGGGTTAACAACTTGACACACGAAGTTTAAAGTGTAAATCCTGAAGATCACGGTTTGCGGGAAAGATCAGATTTGAAGCATAAACCATAAACGTAAGCCATAAACATGAAGTTGAACCTTGAACTTTAAAAATAAACTGCAAAGTTTAAAACTTGAAGGTTGGGGTTCAAAAATTGACACCTGGAAATTAAAGTGTAAATTCTGAAGATCTGTTGTGAAAATATATCAGATTTGAAGCGGAAGTCATAAACCTATAGCAACTAAATTAAACCTTGATACCTGAACCTTAAAATGGAGCAAACAGCCCGAAATTAATCAGATTTGAAGCATAAGTCATAAACCTATGGCAAAGGTTTACTTGAACCTTGAAAATAAAGCACAAAGTTTAAAGCTAAGGTTCAAAAGTTGACACCTGTAAGTCCTGAAAATGGCGCCCTTCGAAAATAATCAGATTTAAAAGCTAAAAGTTGAACCTAGAGGCCTGAACCTTAGAAACGAAGCCCAAAGTTTAAATATTAGAGTGTGTTTCAAAAATTGACGCGAAAATAATTCGATTTGAAGCATAAGCCGTAAGCCTAAGGCAAAAATTTGAACCTTGAAACCGGAACCTTAGAAATGAATCACACAGATTGAAAGTCAAAGCTGACACTTGATGCTTACAGTCCTGAAGATAAGCATAGAAGCTATAAACCTTTGACGCTTGAACCTTAGAAATGAAGCACAACGCTTCAGATATGAGTTTCAAACATTGACACCAAATGCTTGATGAAGTACGATGTTCAAATATTGAGGTGAAAGTTTCAAAAATTGAAACCTGTAGCATATAGCGTAAATTCTGCAGCTGATAACTTGCGAAAATACTGCGATTTTAAGCATGAGGCAAAAAGTTGAACCTTGATCAAAGAGTAGGTTACTCTTTGCCTTGATCCTTGAACCTTAATAATGAATGACAGACATTGAAGTTTGAGGTTGAAAATTTTACATTTGAAGCTTAAAGTGTAAATCGTGAAGATCACGGCACTCGAAAATAAAAAGATTTGAAGCATAAGCCTTGAAGCCCAAAGATGAACCTTAGCAATGAAGCTTCAGGTTTGAGGTTTACACTTATTCATTTTTTAGCGCATTTTTGCAAAAAATTTTTTTTGTAAAAAGTAGCTTTTAATCTCACTTTGGCTGGCTGGCTGGCTGGTCGGCTGGCTGGCTGGCTGGCTGGTCTGGCTGGCTGGCTGGCTGGCTGGCAGTAAATGCGCGCCCGTAGAAAAACGCTTGTAAAAAGACAAGGAGTGTACATGTAACTATCGAGGCCGTGTAATTAAGAACGTTAGGGATGGGGCTACAAGATTTGGAGTCGACGACATCTGGACGCCATCCCCGAGCGTATTATACTAACCTGGAGCTTTTTCAGTTTTTATCTATCTTCTTCTACAGTTTTTCTCCGATTGTTTTCAAATTGGTGTCGTCGGGAAGATCTTGTCAACGCGCACAACTTCTGCGTGGCGGAATTTTGTTTTTTTTCCTAGGGGCGAAATAAACCACCTTTTGCGCGGCGAGCTTCGAGGGGTAGTCGACTTTGGGTGCCCAAAAGTTTCTTACAGCGCGAATCGCGGTCTCTCTTTCTCGTGTCACTAATAGAAGGTCGAGCTATGTGAAGTACCCAAAAGTTGAATACGATTTTATGCGGGATTTTAGCGAAATCTACCAAAATGTGAATTACGAATGAACGGGACGTCGGAACTGTGTATCGACAAAGGGAATGTGGTAACCCCCGACGAGATCTTACTGATGGTGGAGTCGAAACTTCAAATCCGAATTGTTGCGGGTGATTAGAAGTGGGTGTCGACAAAGGGAATATGGTAACCCCCAAAGGATTTTAATGATGGTGGAGGCAAAACTTCAAACGCGAATTGCGAGTGCACGGTAAGTGAGAAAATGGTACCGACAAAGTGAACGTGGTAGCTTTCGGCAAGATCTTATTGATGGTGGAGTCAATATTGGCTAATAAAACACTGATCTGCCACACAAAAATGCGCTGAAGTCCCTTCGATCTCACACGAGGACTTTGATCATTTTTTATCGTATTATTAGTAATTCGTGAATTATCTGAGGTTGTTTGAAATTGTAAGGGCGTTAATTAATAGATTCTGATAATTTAAACCGGAAATTTGAATACTTAAATTAACATAAATTACCATAAGGACTTCTTTTTTGGCGAGTTTTACGAACAAAAGATCACAATAATAGTAAAAAAATTAACTAAACGTGTAAGTGGTGTCCAAGTCAGGGGGGATTATTGTGCAAGTAGAAGAAAAATTAAAAACCTAGCATTGGCCAAATGCGTTCAAAGGAGAAGCTTTGAAAGGCTAAAGAGATTTCAAAAGTCCGAGAACCTTCAAAAGTCTCGATTTGAAGGACTTCTTGAATCCTTAATATCCTTATAGAAATTATATAGAGATGGACCCTTTGTAGCTCAAAAACTCACAACGGGTCTTTTCAAAGCTAAAGGTTCTCTCTTTTCGTGAGAGCTCTTATGAGTACATAAATATTATTGGTCTGAATTGTGCAGAGTGCAAATATTGAAGCTTGGGTTTCAAAAATTGAAACTGTGGCTGAATAACGTTAAATCCTGAAGGTTACGGATTGTGAAAATAATCAGATTTGAGGTATAAGGCAAAAGTTGAACCTTGGTACCTGAACCTTAAAAATGAAGCACAGAGCTTGAAGTTGGATGTTCAAAAATTTACGCATGAAGCTTAAGGTGTAGGTTCTGAAGATCACGCTTTGCGAAAATAATCAGATTTAAAGCATAAGCCTAAAATAAGAGTCGAACCTTGATACCTGAACCTGAAAAATGAAGCACAAAGCTTAGAACCTTTTTTATGTTTCAAAAATTGACACCTGGAACGTAAAACCTGGAGAAAAAATTTGAAGCACGAGGCTGATCTTGAACAAAACGTAAGCCATAAACCTAGGAAAAGTCCTGAAAATCACGCTCCAGGAAAAGAATCAAATTTCAAAGCACGTCATAAACCTAAAACAAAAAATTGAACCTTGAACCTTAAAAATAAACCGCAAAGTTTATAACTTGAAATTTGGGGTTCAAAAATTGACACCTGAAAATTAAAGTGTAAATTCTGAAAATATATCAGATTTGAAGCGGAAGTCATAAACCTATAGCAACAAGTTGAACCTTGATACCTGAATCTTAAAATAAATCACAAAATTTAAAGCCAAGGTTCAAAAGTTGACACCTGAAAATGGCGCCCTTCGAAAATAATCAGATTTCAAGCACAAACCTAAGGCAAAAAATTGAACCTAGAAGCCTGAACCTTAGAAACGAAGCCCAAAGTTTAAATATTAAAGTGCGAGTTTCAAAAATTGGCCCGATTTGAAGCATAAGCCTTGAAGCCCAAAGATGAGCCTTAGAAATGAAGCTTCAGGTTTGAGGTTTACACTTATTTATTTTTATATCGTATTTTTAGTACGTAGTACCTAATTCGTGAATTATCTGAGGTTGTTTGATATTGTAAGGGCGTTAATTACTTAATTAGATTCTCATCATTTAAACCGGAAGTTTGAATACTTAAATTAACATAAATTACCATAAGGACTTCTTTCAGTTGAAACAATTTTTCCGCGCCCAGTGGATCAATAGAATTTTGGTCAGAAGTGATCTATGCATAATTCTAAAAAATCAACCCTTTTCTGTTAATTACATGGAAAATTAGCATGCACTTCACAAATTTACAATAATATTTAATTACCCTAACCTGTTATTGAGATCGATTATTTTGAAAACTTCTTTGTGGGTTCTCAGTTCTCAGCATCACACGATCTTTTAACTTGCATCCTTTACGGTTGTAATTTACATTACGCCATAATACAAATGTGCGGTATGTGTAATTTGTTTCATGCAAATCATTACCGGTCCTAAAGCGAACCCTTGCGGAACTCCCTTCGCGCTATGGTTCATGAGAGAAAGTGACAGTTTCGGACGGATAATCCTGCGGTTGCGTCCAGTGCAAAATCAAAGAAGAGGAATCCAGTGAACTACTTCACTACTTCACAATCCGATGATATCACTACCGCAGATCCAGAGTTTGCTGAAACGCTTATTACTCGTATAGTGTATAAGTATATTAGACAATGAACAATACAGGGCCAAATATGTTACTTTGAGGTTGTACGCCCACATAGTAGTTCTGTTCTCGCAAAGCAATTCGTGCATTATTGACATGCTATCTTATAGTAACAAGTGCATTAAATGGTTTAACTCCCGGAGTGAACCCTTCGACAACTTCCACCTGCTGCTGACTTCCTGGTGCTGCCTTGAAACTGAACGTCTGTAGCATATTGGCAACTATTAAGAAGAGATTTGCTTTCGCCAAAATTTCTCCCAAACACCTTCGCTTCCCGAGACCGAAAATCACGAAGCTACTTGGAACGTTCAAACTGCCGTCTTTAATATACCGATCGGGATCGAAAGCGCTTGGATTCTTCCATCCGGCTTTTGAATCCATAAGCGTTCCTCTCGAATTTCCGAGAAGAATCGTGTCCTGCGGAAAAACCGTAATTAGTTGCTGTTACCCAGAATGCTACAAAGTTATTACCTTTGGAATGAAATATCCATAAAAGGTAGTGTCCTGAGTTGCCCTTCTTGGTACAAGGAATCCTCTTCCAGCGAACAATCTCATGGATTCCAGCACCACGCTTTCCACATACGGCAATCTATGGGAACATATAAATGGGCCCTACACATTTCAAGTCTCACCGTGGCTTGTCATCCAAAGTAACCGCCCGCCTTCTTCCAACCACGCAATCGATCTCCTTTTGGGCTTTTGTTTGCACGTCCTGATGGAGCACAATATATGACATGAAGAATTGTAGAGTATTGTAGGTGGTTTCGAATCCCGCGATGAACAAATCCATACATACTGCCAGCAGTTGCTCCTCAGAGAAGCTGTCTTTCTTCTCCCTAGAATTTAGTGTTGCCAGGTACGCGTGAATCAGGCCAGGATTCGCACCACTGCCCCTTAGCTCTTCTACCCTTTCCCTAACAAAATTTATGATTCTCTTGTGAACATCGACGTATGTATTGTATCCAGAATAATTGGGGCAAAGGTACTTCATAAAGGGAAAATTGCTGAAACTCGTACCACTCAATGAACCGCACAGAGAAAAATCTTCCATTATACTAAGCAACTCGTTTACTTCAAAGTCCTCCAGAGGTCTCTTTCTACCGGCCATTAAAGACCAAAGCATATTCAGCAGTGGAATCCCAAACAAACTGTCGATTGGCACGGTACCATTCTTTTTGCACCTCTTGGTAAGATCTTCATTTATCTCACGCAACTCGCTGTGAATGGCTTCCTCCATTATCTCCTTAGAATCTTTTAGATGTCGGAGCACGAACTTCTTATGTTCTTGGAAAGTTTGGGAGTCGTTGAAGACAATGCCCTTCCGTTTCCCGCCAGTCCTACTGTCGGATAGTATACCTTTGGGTCTGCCATTAAGCTCATCTCTTCCGAACATTTCCAGAATCTGCTGCAACCCGCAGACGATTACGACACGCTCTCGTCCGATTCGTGCGCCAATTAAAGGCCCGTATTCCGCAACCAACGGCAATACCGCCTTCGATAGAGATCCCGTTTGACGACACAGCTTTTGGATTTGCCAAGCGCATCCTATAATGGGAAACCACGCCGGACCGGGCGGGAAGTTCTTTGGTCTTCGTGTGTCCAGGAGTGCCAGAAACAGCAACAGGAGAAGTATAACGATTAACCACATATTTTCACTGATATAAAAACGTGTTTGTAACAAATAATGAGGATCCCACATGTTTACTTTAGGCAATAATCGATTAGGGCAAAGTGCTCATAACTCCATTACAAATTATCGTAATGCGTTGACCTTTCCACCACCAACAACATTTTTATCTTTGACTTTTTCATCTTAAGTCGAGCAAAAAATGGGCACACAAAATAATATAAAAAATTTGGTTAGCCCATTTGTGCAAAGTATGAACACTAAAATCCTTTAAAGACTTTAAGTGCCAGATTATCAATGGTTCTTGAAAACTAATTGTCTATTAAAAGTAGAGTCTTGGGCACCTTAAAAAACTAATAGGTATCGATCTTAGCGGCTAATTTCAGAACTGACAGGGCATGTGAACGAGAATCATTCCCGCTGATTCAGTAGGAAGCGACTTTAAGTTTCTTGAATCAGGTTTCTCAGATCAGGGTTGATTATTTCTCTTTTTCTAGAGTTGAAAGTTAAATTTCACTAGGGGTGAGCATTGTTATAAACTTGATAGGAGAGGGTGGTCAAATTTTGGAGGTAAAATGGACTGACAGCCTGATCCGCAGCAAAATTTACGCGAGGGAACATTTTCAAATCGGAGAACCGCTTTTCAAATAAAAACGAACCTGATATTAAAACTCATTGTGATTTACAAAAAAACCTCACAGTAACTGCTGATTAAAATCAAAATGAAGTGTGATATACAACGGCACACGACAAGAAATTTAAAGACAATTAACGATATTAATGATATTAAGATTGAGGAAAATTATTATCAACACAGCAAAACATTGGCTTACTATTCCTGTGAATAATCACGATCTCGAGTATTGCGACGCATTCAATGGGAGTGTTCGGAGGTTCAAGAGACGCCCCTCGGTGATTTACCTAATTAATTGTCGATGATCGCGGATAAGCAGTCGCGTTTTGTTTGTTTACATGACCTTCGAGCGCAAGAGACAACCAGTCGAACTGGATGCTGCCATTCTACCCCTTATGATCGTACGCGTAGATTACAGAGGGATGTTAGTGAAAGGTGAGTTTACAGTAATTATCCCCATTTACTTAGTTACTTCCCTTGTTAAAATACCAAGCCTTCCGCTCTTAATTACAGGATTGTTAGATTTCGTGATACAAAATCTTTCAAACTTACGTACTTGCCAAAATAGCAATAAAAGTAGGTACCCAATTTTGCTGGGTGAAAGTGGTGTCTTTTTTGAAAGTTTCAAAGCGTTCAGAACCATTAAAATAGGGACTAGTAGCCGTAGTAGCGGGACATTTCGTTTACCTTCAATTATTCAACTCTTTAAAAATTCTTCCATCTTAGAAAGTGAGCGTAACGTACAAAGAAAAATATATCCAGAAACTACAATGCCATAATAAACCCAAATTCAATTAATTGAAACTTAGATACGCCATTAATAAATGCGTTTCGGATTTCGACATACGTAAAACAAAGATAGCTAATTAAATTAAAATATATGGCATAACCTATAAAAAAAACCTGTTAACAAAGAGGAATTTTATGAAAATAACGTTACCTAAACATGACACAGGCACTCCCCGTTCGCGTAAAGATAGATAATTAAAACAATTTTAAAGTGTCGCAGTACGGACTTCTTTTGCTCTTGTAAGAATTTGCATTCTGTAAAGAGGATACCTCTTCGTTTTCCACCAGTTCGACTCGTGGTAACTACATTGTCCGGCCTACCATTGAGCTCATCTCTAAAAAGCAGTTCGTCGATCGTCTTCGATCCGCAGACGAAAACGGCACGTCCTCGGCCTACTGGTACTCCAACCACCGAACCATACTTTCCCGCCAACGCCGACGCTCTTCTCTTTGTGCCCCATTTCCCACGCCCATCCCAGTTTTGGAAACCTGGTGGAAAGTGCCTCGGATTTCACGTGTCCAAATAAGCGAGCAGGACCAACACAAAAATTATAAATATTATTGACCACATTTCGACACTTGTCGATTACAACTCCCAAACAAATTCTAAAGGTCAACTCGTGGACGTGCTCTTTCCGAGTGATTAGATAAAGTCCATTAATTTGTTTGGTGCTGATGAGATGGTTCCAAAATATTTTGATTCGGTAGCCTAACAAGTACCTACATCTTTTGGGCCAGAGAAGTGTACTTCGAGACTTTCTCTGTGGCCTTCATTACTTTATTACTATATACAGGACGTTTCGCTTTTGTATGTCCGAAAACTTACACAAAAAATACACGTTCCCGTCTCAGGATTTACCAACTGACGCTTCATAATTTCACTCAATTTGACTTTCGCACATCTGAAAACAAACATAGACAAGGCGCAAAATGGCCAAAATGTTGTCAGTTAATAACTTGACCACCCAATCCAATCTAATCCAATCTTTATTTGTCCGTATACCAAAAATAGGTTTTGACACGTCAGAAAATATGGTAAATATTAAATTAGTACAATGCATATATATATATATATAAAAGGAATAATAAAAACAGTTTAAAATTTCAAATAAATAAAAGCTAGACAGACCATGTGGCTAAAACAGAATATAGATTATAAACAATTTAAAATTATTGTTAAAAAGAGACAAAACAGAGATAAAATATAAACAAGTAAAGGTAAAAATGACTAAAGAGAATACTACTACACAGGTACAAAAAATTCAAGTAAACAAACAATGAAATAAATAAATATCATTAAAATTATTGAATAGATCTCCAAGGCGTATGTAAATATTCACTAAAAAGAATGACTTAATAAGTGCGCCTTAACGACTCTTTTAAATTTATAAAAATTGTAAGGTTTGATACAATCAGGAACGATATTGTATAAGTCGACCCTAAGACTGTTATTTTTAGACCTACTTAGTTTATAATAGGGCGTTTTTATTTTTTTTGCTCCTCGTGTAGAATAGTTGTGAGAGAAGTCATTGGTTTCAAATTTATTTTTGTTTTTATGAATTTCCAATATGGTGTGATATATGAAAATAGATGGAAGAGGCATAATAATTATTTTTTTAAAAATAGGTCGGCAGTGAGCACGATAGTCAGCATTTACGATTATACGGATTATTTTTTTTTGCAATAAAAACGCCTTGCTCGCTTTGGAAGAGTTACCCCACAAAATTACACCATATTGTAAATGTGAATGAACTAAAGAAAATAGCACGATCTTAGGGTGGCTATACAAAGTGATCGTTTTAAATTCCTTAAAATAAATAATGATTTGGTCAATGTGATTGCTCCAAGTGAGTTTTTCATCAATATATATGCCTAAAACTTTAACACACCTGCCGGTTGCAACCTTATTGTTTGTGGAGAGGGTAATTATGTGAGTTTTATCTTCATTTAATTTTAAGTTGTTCTTATTAAACCAGGTTATTCCTAATTGTATTAAATTATGACTTTTAAGGGCTAGAGTTTCGATATTTTGGTCCGAAACCAGTAATGAAGTATCGCAACCGTTCGCTAGTTATCATGCACACAGGCGGGCGGACGAACAGAAAGTCCAAAATCATGAACGAACTGGATCGCTCTTTTTTTCTTTTGGAATTTGCTATATGACTAAATGGCGCATATCCGGTTTACTATATTTTGTTTTGGCTAATATACTAGAACCCATTATTCACCCCTACCCATCTCTACTTTGCCTGAGCTTATCATGCTTATCTAAAGGTTATATTCGTATACATTTTCCAAATGCCATCTATACGGTTTTTCCAGAACCTCTTATCGTCTTTTCACAGCATTCTTTTCAGAACTATTTAGACGCTTCACAAAACATGCAAGGTTCTATGAGGCTCTGTTTCTTAATCTGAAAATGCACCAAGAGCTAATTCTTTGGATCATCACAGATTGAGTAGGTACGGCCCAAGGAACTTGAGAGGTTCCATCCTGTATATACAACTTACGACGACACATACATTTTTGAGAGTTGGCAACTATGCAATTTCTAGGTGGGAAAAAGCTGCCTTCGCCATCTAAAAAGCACGAACGGGGGTTACGTTTGGCATCTTGTCTTGAATGGCGGTCGTGAACGCGTCCCTTCATAAATATTTGTTGTTATTTTGTGTTATTTAATGCAGGTAGTAATGTCTTTATATCGTATTTGTGTATTGTATGCCGCATTTTATATTTTATGTGAGTTTGAATCTTTGTTTTTGAAATTTACTTGGTTTAACCGCAATGCAGAATCACATATGTGGTACCGTTATGCTATTGTTTGTAATTATTTACGTTTTTTGGTGTAAATCTTGCTTAATTTATGTTTATTGATGTTGATTACTTGGTCTTGTCCCTGAAGTAACATTCATATAAGTTTTTATCATTTTATTTTGATATGTGTAAATTACCGATTTGTTGTATGTACTGACTTGTTTGTTTACTAACATTTTTCTCCGTGAATGAAGCAGTCATGGGGGTGGTAAAAACTGTAACCATTTAAAGTACGACACCTAATTCCGTGATTGTCTTCGACATCCAACTGTAGGCTCGAAACCCCGAAACCAGGGGCGGGTTACCCGTCTTGCAGGAGCGGGATTACGCGAATCAAAGCTCTTCAGTTTAGAATCTATGTGCGATAAATGAGTTACGATTCTCCACATCTTGTTTTTAGTTAAATTTGCCTACAAGGCCATGTAATTTTCCATCTTACTTTTAACACAAGGACTTTATTGCACCAAAGATGAGTCACATCCTGTGCATTTCACCCTTTCTTAGAATCTGGGTACCTGCTTACCTGATCCATAATTCCCAAAACTTGTTTTTAACCTATATGTTACCCCTTGAAGTTTACCTGCTATTTTTTGTGATGTTATAATTTTATGTTACGCATTCACATCATTACAGCGCAGAAGATCAAGGCTTAGTGTAAGATTTTTATACAATCTTATACACAATCACATCGATTGTCCTTCTTTGTTAGAACGTTTGAACTTTTAGGTACCTCATGTGAATACTCGACAACACTACACTTTTTATTGTAAAAAAACTAGGTTAAATATTTCTCGTAATTCACCTATTAATTCAACATGTGCTCTTCTTAACCTACCTAACGCTAGTTTACTGGCCACTAAAACTTTCAAGTTTACGGGCGTGGAGTGGAACGAACGAAAAGTGTTTTCCCGAGAAATTTTGGTGCAGTCGATTTTTGATTTTTGAGCAGCGAAAAAAAAATTGTCTCCGATCGACTGGAAAAAAAATTTCTTATAGAATGTGGCCTGTAGAATCCATAATTTCAAACAGTTCCAAGATTGGGCTACTAGTTCAAAAGTTACAGCCCCTTGAATTTTTTTTCGAAATTGGTTTCTAGTCTATAACTTTTGATTGAGAAGTTTGATCGAAAAAGTACGAATTGATTTGGATTCTACACACCCAAATTAATAGAAATATTGACATTAATTATAACCCTTTTCCCACTATCGGTATGGCTTTAGATTCCCTTTATTAGATATGTACTAAATTATATCCAAATCCAAAATCCAAATGCGTCTATATATTTTATAAACTTAAATTTTGTTCTTTTTTCTTATATTATTTCATATTGTGTCCTATAATTGGTGTAAATCATTAAATAAATAAAAATAAATAAATTACAAACAATTAATTTTACAACACAATTTGATATTAATTTGACGGCTGGTTTTTTTATTGGCAAGTTCTTTTTTTCCACAACCTATTTCTATTTTTATTCGGTGAACTACCATTTTCAAACTTTATTTTAGCAATGTAATTTATTTCGACTTAAATTTCCGAGCTTTCACAATTTTAATAACATTCGGGTGGCCATTTTTAAACATTGCCGGTTTGACTTTACTTCCCCGTTTTTGTAGTGTAGTGTGAAGTTAGTGTAGAACCTGGAGGTTAAGTACACTACAAACTCATTCATTTCGGAGAGATCTCCAGATTTCTTCTTGAGAAAACACGGTGGACATAATTACTACGCGTGATATAAAAAAGATGCACTACTTAATTCGTAACACGAAGGGGATGAGGCAGAGAGGAAAATTAATGGGATTCACGATATAGCAATCGGTGCGATCAGTGTCCTTCAAATCTTTAAAACAAACTGCCTAGATCTGTAAGAGTGTCTAAAACGTTAAAGAGCTCTTAAGATCCACGGAGGCCTATGAAACCGTTTCAGTGTCTTTACGAAGAGTTTATTTTTTAAGAGCTTTTAATAGCTTCGATTTTTGTTCAAAAAAGCCTTTATGGCCAATTATCAATAGTGTTGGTTAACGCTGTATATGTGCAGATTTAGTACAACAATTGGGGTGATTGTTGCGAAACCACCTCTTATTATATCATTTCGCCACTACTACGTTTATTCAGCTTTGTAGGTCAGTGGTAGAGCGTTGGACTACAAAACCGGAGGTCGGGTGTTCGAACCTGGGCTGAGGTAAGAATTTTTCATCTGTAGCAGAGATGGGAATTTCCCTAGATCAGTTTCGAGCATTCTGCCGGTTACTTCGAATTAGGTTTTCCTAATTCGTAAGGTAAATACCGGAGTGTAGAACAACTTAAGACCTTCTACGGGGGAGTCTCTAAAAAGCAATAAATAAATAACAAAGAGTTAAACGGATGGGGTATATGATTATTTATTATTAGTTTTGGTTAAGGGTAGTTGTGCGCAGATTCGTCATTAAACACAACCCCTCGACCCTTTTGTTTCTACGATACAGAGCTAAACCGATTGGTTGTAATGATAGACGTACTAACTATTTATTGGCTTCGGTTTGATAGTAAGCCGTGCACTAGGTGGCGTGACCAGGAAGTGTTTGGGTGGTTTTATCTCAATGTAACGTATGTCTTGTAAGGTTTGACTGTCGGAGTAAAGTTTTCGACAGCTTCTACCGTTGCAGGATTCCCAGGCACGGTCTCGAAGTTAAACGCTTGAAGAAGACCGGCGACCACGACAAACATGTTTTCGCGAGCAAAGACCTCTCCCACGCATCTTCTCTTGCCCGAACCGAACGGACTGAAATTGTCCGAAATCTTCAGGCTACCGTCTCGCATGAAACGGCCGGGATCGAAGTCTTCCGGATTGTGCCAACCCGCAGCTTCATCCATAAGAATTCCTCGGATGTTTCCAATTATGGTGGTGTTCTAAAAACAAGTCGGTGAAGCAGTCAGTCAGGTCGATCTGTACCTTCCTAATGAAGTAGCCGCTAAGTTGCGTATCTTTGGTCGCCCTACGGGGTACATAGTGAGATCTGCCTACAAACATCCGTATTGATTCCAAGACTATACTCTCGACGTAGGGTAAGCTACAATCTGTTGAGTTAGATCTTTTGGCAGTTAGGAATACTTACTATGATCTGTCCTCTACAGTAGGTAATCTCCCCTGGAGGACGGTATCGATTTCCTCTTGAGCTTTCTTCTGAATATCTGGATGCAGTATGAGATACAAGAACGCAAATTTTAGGGTATTGCAAGTGGAGTCGTAACCAGCAATCAGCAGGTCTAAGCAAACTGCTAGTAGTTGCTCTTCGGAGAAGCTGTCACCGCTTTGGCCTAAATTTAGTTTGTCCAAGTATGCGTGAATGAAGCCACGAGTGGAGGCAGCGTCCCTGAGAACCTCTACCTTTTTGTGGAAGAACTCCAATATTTTTTCATGCATTTCTACATGCAAGTTATATCCACAATAATCGGGGCAGATGTGCCTTAAAAACGGAAACAGGCCGAATATCGGACCGGCCAAGGGAACATTCTCAGAAAAAGACGCAGTGATGGCCTCCAAATCACTCAACTCGTGTTGCTGGCTTGTCTGGCCTGATATTAGAAAGCAAAACGCGTTCAACACATGAATCCGGAAGAAACTGTACATGTCGACCACGGGGTTCTTTTCGATTGCTCTCGTGACACCGTCGATGATAGATCTCACCTCTTCCTCGATCGACTCCCGCATGACCTCTTTTCGGAAACTAGCCTCGTTAATGTGTCGGAGTACGAACCTTTTTTGTTCTTGTAAAAATTCGGAGTCTGTAAAGAGGAGACCTCTGCGTTTTCCACCAGTTCTACTCCTGGTAACGTCACTGTCCGGCCTACCGTTGAGCTCATCTCTGGAAAGCAGCTCGTGGATCGCTTTCGAGCCGCAGACGAAGACGACACGTTCTCGGCCCACTCGCGCCCCAACCACCGGACCATATCTTCTCGCCAACGCTTGCGTCGCCCCAGATAACGAGCCCGTCTCCTTCTGCAACCTCCGCAGTTCCCACGCGCATCCTAAAATCGGAAACCAGGCGGGGCCCGGTGGAAAGTACCTCGGCTTCCGCGTGTCCAAATAAGCCAGCAGAACCAAAACCAAGATTAGAATTATTACTGACCACATTTCAGCAGCAGTCGATTACCACTACTCCCAAACACTTGGGTTGCATTTTCCGAACGATTAGATAAAGTTATTAATAGTTCGTTTAGTAATGGAGGTCTAGGCAACTACCCCACGGAGTGGAAAGATGGAATTCACCTTTCTAATTCCGACCAATAGTCTTGACTAGCCATGTCAGAGAAACGTTTGAGCGAATAATGATTCCAAAGGCCCAACTGGTACCTAGAGATCAACGGACTGCTATCCAGTATACAAGACGGTTTTAGAATATCAAGGTCAACCCTCGATAACCTCTTGGACACAGAAGCAACAACAGTTATATGGAATTTTCTTTGACTTGCAGAAAGCATACAGAACTGGACAGTATTCGATTTTGTAAATACTGTTTAGTATTCAAATCCTTTAAAGTATTCAAATACATTGTAATTAAATACTTTTATGGAAGCAGTACTTGTATTTGTAACTCAAATACTTTCATAATTATTTAGTATTCGAATACTTCGCATAGTATTTGAATACTTAACCTTCCTTTTTTACCAAAAATCGACTACACCAAAATTTCTCGGGAAAACACTTTTTCTTATTAATTTTGGTGCGTAGAATCCAAAACAATTCGTACTTTTTCGATCAGACTTCTCAATCAAAAGTTATAGACTAGAAACCAATTTCGAAAGAAAATTCAAAGGGCTGTAACTTTTGAACTAGTAGCCCAATCTTGGAACTGTTTGAAATTATGGATTCTACAGGCCACATTTTATAAGAAAAATTTTTTCCGGGTCGATCTGAGACAATTTTTTTTGAGGGCCTCAAAAAAAGGCAGTGTATAACCTTCCTTTTTTACCAAAAATCGACTGCACCAAAATTTCTCGGGAAAACACTTTTTCTTATTAATTTTGGTGCGTAGAATCCAAAACAATTCGTACTTTTTCGATCAGACTTCTCAATCAAAAGTTATAGACTAGAAACCAATTTCGAAAGAAAATTCAAAGGGCTGTAACTTTTGAACTAGTAGCCCAATCTTGGAACTGTTTGAAATTATGGATTCTACAGGCCACATTCTATAAGAAAATTTTTTTTCCCGGTCGATCTGAGATAATTTTTTTTCGGGGCTCAAAAAAAGGCAGTGTATAACCTTCCTTTTTTACCAAAAATCGACTACACCAAAATTTCTCGGGAAAACACTTTTTCTTTTTAATTTGGGTGCGTAGAATCCAAATCAATTCGTACTTTTTCGATCAGACTTCTCAATCAAAAGTTATAGACTAGAACCCAATTTCGAAAAAAAATTCAAAGGGCTGTAACTTTTGAACTAGTAGCCCAATCTTGGAACTGTTTGAAATTTTGGATTCTACAGGCCACATTCTATAAGAAAAATTTTTTCCGCGTCGATCTGAGACAATTTTTTTTTCGGGGCTCAAAAAAAGGCAGTGTATAACCTTCCTTTTTTACCAAAAATCGACTACACCAAAATTTCTCGGGAAAACACTTTTTCTTATTAATTTTGGTGCGTAGAATCCAAAACAATTCGTACTTTTTCGATCAGACTTCTCAATAAAAAGTTATAGACTAGAAACTAGGGAATGCAATACCGGGATTGCGGGATCCCGAAATACGGGGATCCCGCAGCATTTTTGCGATATTAATCCCGCACATAAATGGAGCGAGATCCCGCGGGATTTGCGGGACTGAGGAATTTGTCGACCAAGGGGACGACTCTGTTTACTTTGTTAATGAAACTGATAACGGCGAATTATTTTTTAAATAATTGTTAAACTTTTTTCGTCAAAAAATGTACTATGATTTTTGAGGCACTTTAGAAGACTTTTTGTGCTTTACAGGTAAGGATTTTTTGAGTTCTAAGTTAGGCCGAAGGTACTTTTTTGTTAAATATTGTGAATTAGCGATTTATTTTAATACAGGAGTTAACCGCACAGAATTGCTTATTTGCCAATTTATTTAAAGTTTTGCGAGATCCCGCAAATACCGGGATCCCGCGGGATTAACATCTAACAATCCCGCAAATACCGGGATTGAGATTTTGCTGCGGGATTGCATTCCCTAGTCCGCACTGTTAAAAGCGCCTTAAAAATAGGCAAACCACGTAAAATATTCTAAATAAATTCTCCCTGGGTATTTGACAATTCCCTTCAACCTTCCTAGATGTAAGAAAATACAAAACAAACCCTGGACATACATTTTTGACCCATTTTATGGGCGGGTATTGAAATGCTACCTTGCACTTAAGAAACCCGCTATAGCAAGTGCCGTCCGGTGTTGCGGGGGTGGCGGCATAGCTGAAATTGAACCTTAGAGTGTCTAGAACATCCTCTGAAAGTTTCATAAAGTTATCACAAAATGCAAGGTTGAAACCTATTTTGGCTCTTAACCCCTGCACTAATGTCTGCGGTTAGTTACCTAGGCAAAAGGATAGCGGTGCGGTTGTCCACTTCCATAAGAAATATAAATAATTATATTTCATAATTTCCATAGTTTGATGCATTTGACGCATTATTCTTGATTGACAATAGCTAAATGTCAATTATAGCCCAAGTTGTTCCTAAACTTTTTATGCTAAAGATATTAAGCTTTTGACAGTTCGATATAAAGTTCTGCTATTCTTTCTTTTTTGCCTGGTCCCACTAGAGGGTAATCAATCATGTTGGCTTCATGTAAGGAAACATTTACCACTTTTTGTGCACAATTAAATAACGTTTATATAAGTCGGGAATATATCTCAGCTCCAAACTAGATTATTTTACGATTTACATCTTATCAGAATTATTCATCTTTCGTTTGTCGCAGGGAAGCTAAAAGGTAACACAGGCCAATATGCCGATTTTTATCAGAATCTAGGAAAAATAAGTGATTATGTTCTCATCTTGCGTACCTCCATCGGTCCAGGCTGAAACTCGCATCGTACATTAGGGGAAATGTCTAGGGGGCCAAATGTTTATGTTTTGGTGTTCATATTTTGATTAAGTACATGTGGAAAACTAATCACATCCTGATATACAATAATTTGTTTTATCCGTTAATTAATATAATATACAACGTTCTTAGTGGTTAACCACCCTCAGATCGGCGGTGTCAGGGTCATAAAAGTGCAAACCAAACTGCAAAATCGTTCTGTGCAACAATCGTTACGTATACAATCCTGCTTAACAGATGGATCGTTTTTAATTTCTAGACATAATTTTAACATCAGAGATTTGCGTCGTCGTCGCGTCGGTTGCATTCCTGTAAATTTGCTAATAACATTTTATGGCGGATTGGTCACATACATATTTGCTGTAGGGACTTCGTTACAAACGTACCAGTGTGCAATCTATTGACAAAAAAGACAAAAGGAGTTTTCATTTGAAAATTAAGTTTTCCCATTTTCACCATATACAAAAGTGTAAACTTCAACTTTCGAGTGCCATGTAAAAGTTTATTGATCATTTTGGTAAAAGTAGTATAAAAGTAAAAATATTTTAGCTGATGGACATCATGTACAAATTCCAGAATCTATTTGAATTGGTTTCCAGAGTTGCAGACAATGACATACCTACCTACATGAAGTGATGTTACTAGGGAAGATGGGACTGGAATCAAATTCCAGAATATCTGTAGAATCCTAAGCGTTGCCTAAACGTTAAGTATTTTTTGTATTAAATGCAACCATGTACCTATATTTAAAATTACTGAATAGTGTATGGGTAAAATATCTTAAAATAAAATGGACAAAATTCACCTATAATGGGACAATAATGTGCATATTTGCATTACAAGCTAATAAATTCTACTTCTCGTCTATTACCGTTGGTTTAGTCTGATTGTTATGCACGAATTTATGTCTATTTTAGTTGTAAATATCAACTAACCGCTGCAGTTTGGTAACTAACAATAACTTGTTTACGTTTTATACGAAGCATTGAAAATGAGCTCGGAAGCTAATTATTCCTGAATGATCCCAAACGGAAAATCGACTGTTTCACATATGATCAGATATGGACAAAAGCAACGCTCATTTTCTACGTGAGTAAGAAACTAACAGTGGGTGGAAACTTAAATTAAAATTATTATTTCCATATAGTTCAAAAATTACAACTTTATTAAATATTTCACATACTGCTGTCTGAGAATTAAACTTTTTGAGAGACAACTAACAGACTTAGTTATGTGTATTTTCCATCTGTCACATTCCGATCGATACATTGCACAACGATATAAAGCTTTCACGTTTGAGCTAGGTACAACTTTTAACGCAAAAGTTTCAAAGAAGGATTGAATTTGAAACACCTCTTACTAGGAAATTTTTAAAATCAATTGGTATAAAGCAGTAATGTAAATGACATAAGAGATTCTCTGAAAAATTAAATTAAATAAACATGTTCGTGGAATCTGCCTACTAGGGATCTGATCGATTCCCAGGAAGTACGTGTCGGAGTACCTTTCATAGAAGTGTTCCAATGGATGCAATTCCTAAAACTTTCGCGTTTTCGGAGATTATTCTCCGTAAAACCAATTAGTAATACAGATTTCAATTCGGCACGAGAATTTGTATGATTTATTTCCTAAAAACCTTTGTTTAAGTGGTCATCCTTCTCATGTTCTGTGTTTTAATAATTACAACTTAAAACGAGTAAGAGCTATTGTCGTGTGCGTGGTATTTATTAGGATTTAGAAGAGGGAGTAGAACAATGAACTATATATGTTTTCTAAATAGTGGTGAAAAAAAGGCATTCTCCATGGACTTAAAGGTGACGTTTGATAGGTAGCTAGTAAGGGAAACGTACGGAAAATGACGTATATTGTATGTATACTACTTAGCATTTTCTGTTTGAAGTTTGTTGGGTGGTCGGTCCACTTCTTTGTCTTTGGTTTTTATTGTGTTTAGTTTTTGTGTTGTCTGGGACTATGCGTTTTGCCATTTGTCTAGAATTTGTGTCTTCTGGATGTTTTGTAGGTCTGGGATAGTATATTCGGTTATGGTTTGGTGTGGATTTGAGACAGATATTTAAAATGTTTTTACAGCCGGAAAGATCTCTTCCCAAAAAAAAAGGAGGGCAATCCATATTTTAGAATTTCAGACATGTAACACCATTATTAGCAGGTTTTGTTTTCTATGGTGCCGCTGGATGTACACTCATTTTTTTAATGTTTGCAAGTTGTCCCGATATCGGAGAAAGCGGTAATGCTTGAAAAACAGTTTAATTTATT